CAATCGCGAACTGTTGACAACAGTGTCTAGGCTAGACACGTTCTCTGCTCTGTTTGGTTAAAAATCGGAGTACTGAAGTTAATGTAAACATCTATTCCAACCATTTAAGAGTTTATTTCCACCAAATACATGTCTCTTAGTCGGAGTTGCCGTGAGATGTTTGGGGCAGTTCATCAAAACAGAGAGATGTTTCATCTTTTCATCTTCGTGCACTGACTGAATTCATGCTTTTAATTAATTTACTTATATTTTTCAGTTTTAGTGCTGTGATCTAACATGAATAGCAGTGATGGTGGAATATTACAATGGTGTGCACTGTAAAAGTAAATAAAGTTTCCGAAAATGAATGCAAAGAGCAACAAAAATAGAGCTTACCTTGTGCTGAATCGTCGCGTGCGTGTAAGGAAGTAAGAACTCATTGGACCTCAACTCTCGACAGCTCAGATCTTATCCAAAGTCGACAGCGTACATTTTCGCTTACGCAGTGATTACACTTCAGGATGTTCTGCTTTTTGCCTCTCGCAAGGTGAATCTTCGTGCAATTCCCTCAGAACTCTAACACACAATCGAACACGCAATCGAATCCGCAATTGAATGCGCAATTAAATGCGCGATCAAGCGGAATGGGGAGAGTCTGGGGAGAGCAACCAAATGGCACGATCGGTGAATAACTCTCAATAACAGCTATTCAACTCCTTTTAAATTTTGCAAAGGTCCATCCTGACGCTAGGTACCAGTTTGGAGAATGACTATGATTATGATATATGAAATGGAAAAAAATTACCCGTTTTAAAACGTGCTATGTTGTAATGAAAGTAAAAGCAATGTCTCTGGTGGATTTGAGAGGGGTGGGGTGGGGGGTGGATTTGGTCGTACCTCTTAGACTGAGAAATTGCAAATGTAACTAACCCTTCAACTCCCAAAAGTGATCAACATGTTCATTCTCCATATAATACTCATACATCATCCAGCAAACAGGTAATGAGAAAACTCAAACTTATCAGGTAGAAGTTGTTATCGTGATCTAGCATTAAATTCTTGTATTTAGAAGGAAATAACTAGCAGATAGAGGGGAGAATTAACAATTACATCTTGGGAGTTAGAGGGTTACTAAATACAGTAAATGATAATGTATCTGTAAATAAAATTGTCTACAACTTTTAGCATTGCAGGAAAGCGTGAATGGTGAATTTTTTTCTTCGATGGAAAAGAGCAACATTTTGACATCATAAAGGGAGGTATTATAACACACTAACTTGGTTAGTAATAACAATTTACGGACGAGGAGCTCGGAGACCAGGCTTACTTTGAACTCGACATGATAAATGCAATGTCCGCTGCAAACATTGCATTTATCGCGTCGAGTTCACACGCTGTTTTATATTGATTGAATTCTGTCGACCAATAGGATTTTTCATAGTAATTGTAATGTGTAATGTTACTGATTATATTCATTGAAGCACCTAAGAACGGTGGAAACCAAGAAGCTGGCCTAAAGAAGGTGGGTTACAGGGCAAATTACCCACAAATGTCGAAATTGAGTTCTTATGATCTTGAAAGGACGGGCAAAGACAATCATTTTAAGCACAATGTCTTCAAGCACCCATACCAAAGTGATAATCTCGGATCAATATCAATATCTGGGCAACTGCCCACCTACCCCTCCCCTAACCCAACATTAACCCTATGTTGTTGAGTTAGGGGAGGGGTATGTGGGTAGTTGCCCAGATACTGATATTGATCTATAATCTCTCCCACATATAGAGATAAAATATTGCTTTATTGAAAACTCAAGGTGTTGAAATCGATTCTGTAGGAACTGGTTCGCAAAAATTCTGCTTTATCACAAATAATATATAGACATGAAATTAAAAACGTTGCATATCCTCGGAACTGAATTGAAGTATGCACTTGTACACAAAATTGTCATTCCCTTCAAGAATTGAATGTGACGTGAAAAGAACTGAAAAAGAATTCGGAAGCAAGAAACGGGTGAGTTTTTTTTCCACTGGTGCCTCAATCTATCTCATATTTATTAAAAAAAAAAGCGTCTAACATAAAATTAAAAAAACAAACAATTATGAAACTAAAGTTTTGGAAAACAAAAAGAGAGGGACCGAGAAGGATTGACATGTACACACTATCAAGAATTGTCCCACAATTTGCGAAGAGTTTGCCCATGGATACGGCTATTATGAATTTTGCTAAGAATTCCGGCCTCTGGCCTTTGACCTGATTGAGTGTTACTCCTCTTTCTTCTGCTTCTTAGTAATATTAAGCAAGTAACGGACCTCATCCTAGTTTCCTTGAGCACGAAGTGAATAGGTGTATTGGTACCCCCCCGAGTGGGTAGCTAGTCCATCGTAAGGTTAACTCCCCAGCATTTCATCAGGCTTCCCTGTCAATTCGTCTGAACAGGACCTGCAATCATTTAGCACTAAACTCACATGAGTGACCGAGATGTAATTTCTCCTTATAATATCAATACAATATCATGCAGACAAGTGATGAGAATAGATACAAATATCAATCAGGGGATTATATGTTGATCCACGGCCTAATTCTCCACACTAACGTCACAAGAATTGTATAACAGACAGTAAGGAGAATTACAAATGAGATCTTGGCAGTAAAAGGGTTGAATGACCACAGAGGTACAGTGAGAGTTAACAACACAACAATTGCCCGGCCAGGTCTCGGACCCGACACAGAGTCCAGTGCGCGCATGCACTGACCACTAGGCCACGGCGCGCGTCTCCCACAATTTTGAGCAATTTCGAGCGCTAAATTGCAATAAAGAAACTATCATTAATTATTGACATTAGGAAAGTGACCTTGGAAAAGGTCAGAAAGGTTTTCACTTTTTATGCAATTTACTCTACTCCAAGTTTAGCGCAAAGCTTTTAATAGACGGATTCTGTAGGAAGAAATCTTCAAAACTCTGCAAAACTATCAGTCCTTCTGTCTAGATCTATGGAAACGTTGATATTGAAATTGGCTCGGTGAGAAGAGATGATGACTCTTTATTTCTGTGATTCAATTGCAAAACACTGACAGACAAGACGAATTATCCTTAGTATAGTTTGAGTGGTTCCGCTTCACGCGACCGTTAAATACAGGTGATTGAACGCCATAGAAAGAAAACCAGACTGCTAGTGCTACAGTCATTCTGAAAAAATGAGGACTGCTCACAAAGAGGTCACAGAAATACCAGGCAGAAACCTAGCACGGCTCCACCCGAAAAAAATAATCAAAGTGCTCTGTGAGCAAACTCGTGAATTGACACATGATTTTTTAGATTATGTTTAATGTTATCTGGTTTAGGGTTTATTGCCATATCTAGAGTACGAGCAGTAGTTCAGTGTTCGCTAATGTAGCAAAGAAAAAAAGTAACGTTGGGATAAGAAGGCATTGCAATTGAAATGATCATGCTATTACATTCGACAAGGTGGATGATGTCGTGTTTTAAACGTCTATCATTTTTGTTTCTGGTTCAAAAGAAAAGGTTGGAAGTAAATGTGGGTGAAAAGTGAAATTTACTGTCTTTCGTTGTAAATATTAGAAAATCAAGGCAATACTGTCTTAATGAAAACATTAACGATTCCCTCTTTATCAAACGAGACAAACGGGAACGAGTTTTGAGTGATATAACTAAGCCAAGCCTGCCACCGTCATTTTGGATCTCCGCCTGGGTAGATTTAAGGCACGTGCTAGGCAACGTATAATTAATAACAAGATAGAATTTCATTTCAGGCCTATTTATCAATTTTGTGGTGTGTAACTTTCGCATTTTAGTACGTTGTATGTATGTTGAATCTTCAAATTGTCTTGAAACCTAAAAGAAAATTGTTCTTTAAAAATTCACTGAAAATCGGTAGCTAAAATTGTTTGTTTAGATGTTATTTAATTTTCTTGCTAACTTGTTATTTCGTCAGTCGCCGGCATCTTTTATTGCTTCACACAGGAAAAACACACGCGACGAAACGTAATGATCGATTTTGTCCGCAATCTCACGCCATAACAGAAAAAGCTTTTGAACATCTGTAAACTCCGAGCGCTTCGCAGTAAGTGATATTTTCAATGAATCTTCGGATTGTTTTCAAGTTCAAGGATTGTAAATTACAATTTTATGAAAAACGAAGGTTGTTCTGTTATTTCAATGTGAATCCTTGCATGCCTGCCAGTCGCTGGCGCCGCTTGTTGAAACTAAAACGAAAAAAAAAAAACTCTTTTAAGATTATCATTGGCTTCTTTTTCACCCCACCACTATTCTTAGCAACAAAGGTCGCCATTTCGTCTGTTTATTGCTCGCCAAAAACTATCAAATGCACTCAAAAGCCTAAAATCTAAAAAAAGTTTACAGGAATCGACCAATCGAGCGAGCGAGCGAATGCCATTCCCCACATCGTATCTATAACTCGCTCTTGCGCATGCGCGCAATTCACGAATTAAAAATGAGTTTATGAGGACTAAACTGTGAAGCAGACGACAACAAATTAAAAGACAATTTCCATTTACTGGTTTTCCTGAAGCTGATGGGTCTATCACGGTTGTTTCTTACAACGATTAAATGTAACTACTCGGCCGTCATCATAGCATTGCTTAGATTCTGTCACAACAGAATACAAACTTTCTTAACGTAACAACTCTTACACTATCAGTCTCTCCTTTGAAATATTTCATGAATCAGGGAAATATAACGCGCATATTTACCTGTTTGCACACGAATGGGCCTACAATTTGGAAGCAAAAAGTCGGAAAAGCAATTTTTTACTATGTTAGATCAAGGCTAAAATATCTCTGTTAACTAATTTGCATCCATCAATTGATGCTTGAATGATCACAATTTCAGTAGGCCTCTCGTGTTTCTTAGAGTGCTCGGTATGTACATGTAACCACCTTCTTTCCATTTTCCCACTTTCCATTTTACATTTTCTTTTAGTCCTGTTTTGGGCCGTCACTGTGACAGTCGGACAAATTCTACGCGCTAGTAATGCTCGTTAACTCCTTATCCAGTTTAGGCCACTGCTACAGAAATATAAACTGTCCGATTCCAATCGGCCACTCAAAACCTTGAAGAGGTCTTGTCCTGACTTAGTCATCCGATTGTTCATCAAGCCAAGAAACATCAAAGTCTTATTGCACTGGAGAACCTCTACAAATTCTTTAGCTCCGACATCACCGATTTTGTTGTTTCCCAGCCGCAATTGAATCAGGCTTTGATTTGTGTTCAGTGCCTGTGCTAGAGTTACTGCGCCTGGACAGTCAATTTCGTTATTACTCAAATCTAACCGTTTTAGAGTGCCATTGACGCTGAGAGCCTTTGCTAGGGGTATTACACATGATGAGCTAATTGAGAGGTTACCTAGATCTAAATGGGTCATCTGAGTGCCGCGTGACTGAAGAGCCTTTGAAAAGGTTTCTAATGATAAACCATCAATTAAGTGATGTCTGACAAGGCTAGTCTCAAAACCCCGCAGGTATAAATGAGTCAGAGAACAGTTTGACTGAAGGGCTTCTCCAAGCGCTGCGAATGACAGGTCGCTAAGAGTTTTTCCGCAAATACTTAGGTGAGTCAGTGAACTATTATATCGGAGAGCGTGTGCTATAGCTCTTACGCCTTGATCACCAATTTGGCGATGCGGTGGGCAAAAGGCGTGTGCTCTAATATCTACATTCAGTTCCCTTAGGGTTCGATTAGACTCCAAGACTTGAGAAATTGCTTCGGCTCCCTTATCACCAATGTAGTTATTTCCGATATTCAAGTTCTCCAATATCTTGTTGGACCTTAGAGCTTCTGCCAAAGCTTCAACTCCAATATGTGTTATCCGATTATAAGCTATGTACAAATGAGTCAAAGTGTGATTTGACTGGAGAACTTTTCCAAGTGCTTTGGCTCCCTCATCACCAATATCGTTATTTCCGATATTCAAGTTCTCCAATATTTCATTGGACTTCAAGGCTTCTGCTAAAGCTTTAACTCCAATAGGTGTTATCTTATTATCAGCTAAGCACAGATGAGTCAAAGTCTGATTTGACTGGAGAACTTTTCCGAGTGCTTCGGCCCCCTTATCACCAATGACGTTATCTCCGATATTCAAGTCCTCCAATATTTTATTGGACCTTAAAGCGTCTGCTAAAGCTTCAACTCCGATAGGTGTTATCTCATTGACAGCCAAACACAGATGAGTCAAAGTGTGATTTGACTGGAGAATTTTTCCGAGTGCTTTCGCTTCCACATCACCGACTCCGACTTCACGCATATTTAAATGTGTTACCGTGTGATTCGCCTGGAGAGCAGGAGCTAGTAATGTGATGAACTGGTCGGTCGTCAAATGTAAGGGTGTCAGAAAACGACTTGTTTGCAGAGCATCCCTGTCCCAAACTAATTCTTTCAGTTTGTAGTTGCCTTTAAGATATTCAGAAAAAACGAGGGGAAATTGAGAGTCCAAGGTAGCGCGATTATACGATATATCCACTATTATTTCATCCCTAGTGTGGAGATAATAACTTCTCTTCACTATCACTTTATCCATGGGAAAACAACGTGCTAGCGTACTGGCCATTTTAATCTGGCAGGAACTAAGTTTATTATTACGTTGTTCACATTGAGCAATAGTATCAATTGTTTCCTCTAAAAATGAAACCTCGTTAGTTTCTGCAGATGGTAACCGCCAATCATATTCATGTTTAATATCTTCACAGACTTCGTCATCATAGTCAGTGAAAAGTCTGGAGAACACCCCTCTACACGATTTGTCTTCTTCCTCCGCGTAAGGATCACCTTTAGAGTCGTCTTCAGAGTAGCCTTCAGAGTCGTCTTTAGAGTCGTCTTCAGAGTAGCCTTCAGAGTCGTCTTTAGAGTCGTCTTCAGAGTCGCTTGACTCTGAGGGTTGTTTTCTATACCAACGTTTCACCCTTTTTCTATGTTTTAGATTCCGAAAAGAAGTGCATAGTCTCGAAACCACGAAAATAGCAGTATTGTCACTTTTCCCTGCTGCAATTGTGATCAAAAACTTCCACACCTGCCAGTACTTATTAACAGGACTAAGCTGAGTCAGCAAGGCCGTCTGGTCCCTGTCAGCAGTTACCAATTCAAGCGCCAGATGGAATGCGGCAAAGAATTCCTGAAAAGTCTTGTGGATAAATGCATAAGTTGGCTTCGGTTTGATTTTACTTGCACTGGCCTCTCGAGAAAGAAATCCAAGCTCAAGGAATTCGTTTGACTGACTTTTAAGCTCCCCTAGAGTGAAAGCTAATTGATCTTTTAGCAGAGCTTCAAGAGCCAATTTGCCCAACTGATTCAACTGGTCCGCATATATTTCTATGGGACGTTTGTCGTCCAAAGGGATTTCTTTCTTTGAACAATATCTTCTCAGAACACAATCAACAAGTTCACAATACAACATGGTTTTGTTGTAAGGCAATCTTCCGCCTGTATCTTCAAAAACAAGACACAGAAGAGCTGTGTTCAGTGCATTGGCAGTCAATTCCCTGAGCTGTGAGTCGATGTCTATTGCCCTGATTAGTTTCCCAGCAAGCCTTGATTTGTCGTGACAGCTGAAATACTTCTTGATGTAACTGTCTGCATCTTCTTTGGTGTAGCCTAAAATCTCAAACAGCGCGTCACAGTGTCGCCGAACTTTCATCCCTGCTTCGTGTCGAGCCGTTATAATGAGATAGGTTAAAGGAAAAACTCTTCCTTTGATCAAAGGCAAAAATTCTTTAAAAAGGTTCTTCGGTAATTCATCCAATCCGTCAAGCACCAGCAAGATTCTAGATTGATAGCGACGAATGAAATGGAAAAAAGTTTCCTTGTCTTTCTTGTTTACATCAGTTGGTAATAGCTGATCTTCAATAGCGTCCTCAATGTTAGCACTCTTCATGTCACGACACGTCAGCCGAAGAAGCATGTCCACTTTAGGAAAAGATTCGGTTGTAATGTCCCCCACAGACCAATCATATGCAAGCTTCTGACAATAAGTGGTTTTGCCCATCCCAGGTGGCCCCTCGATCAACACCACTCTTGGTTTTTCACGTTCACATTTACATTTACATTCACATTTGCATTTTTTATATGGTCCAAAGACATCAGTCATTTTGACGGAGTTATTTGTCAACTTCGCTCGTTCTTTCTTCCGGCCAACGATCGTCAGTCTTGTAAATATCTCAGAGAGTTCGAATTGCAATTCATCCTCACACCAAGGGAAGGGACACAATATTGCTCCCTTGTGCTCTCGTCTAATCAGCTCTACAAGTTCCTCAGGGTAATCTAGAGAGATAAATTAAAATCTGCTGTGTTAACTTAATAATTATCACTTTTGCCTATAATAATTATTTCATCACGTAACATACTTCTGTGATAACATCGGCATGGTAAAAACTCCATTTACCAGTTCTCGCCCTGTAAATAGGAGCCCGCTCATGCAAGAGACAGAGCGGCGGTATAAGTCACTAGACAAAAAAACCAAGAATATCCATGGCCCACTCGATCAAAAAGTACTTAGTCTAGAGAAGAAACATGGTTGTGACTTGTAACTACTGGTCTTGCAGCATTACATGGCTCACTAGTAAGCTTTCCAAGCCATGCAAGTTTGAAATAAGAAAATTGACATCATTTAACAATTTAATATTACCTTCATGGTGATGACGGTTTATCAGTTCTCCCCTGAATTGTTTAGAATAGTGATCACCTAACACAATAGAGGCTGGCCTCTTATCTCCAGTTGCAATAACGGGTCTGCTTCCTAAGCCTAACGGTGCGCAATAACAAATTAACCAATTAGAATAAGCTTCTTTGAACATCAAGTATTTCGTAACTGACAATTCATTTAGTTAATGGTCTGTTTGTTTATTTTCCTTCCAAGACATCAATAGATCATACTGAGTCCATTGGGACTTAAGGAAATCTAACATCTCTCATCTTTGTAATCCTTACCCGACATATTTCAGCAAAGCCTCTTTAAGATCGGCATTATTTTCTCACAAGGCCTCTCCGAAATCTGACATCAAAATACTAAAAAACTCTTCTAAATCACTCAAGATCAAAACAACTTCACAACTTGAGTAAATGGACACAACGCACGATGGGACATGCAATCACGCCCGCACAGTATCATGGAAGTGGCAGCCCTCGGCCACAGCGATATTCAATTAGACTTTCGTTTTGATTTGATGTTGAGTTTAATTTTTTATTTCGCCGTGAATTGCCCTTGGATTTCAGTTTAATTTTGAAATGATTTTCACTTTGATAATGCAATTACTTTTGCTTTTAAATTTGCTTGCTATTTCATTTTACTTTCAATTATTCTTTTTCCTTTGTTTTGCAGTCACTTTCCATTTTACTTTCAGTTTTGATTTATTTTTTCTTTTATTTTTTATTAAATCTTTGAAAAATTGTAAAATTTTGAGTGGCAGCTCTCGGCCACTATAGTAATAACACTTCACGATAAATTTCACTAACTTTGAGAGTGGCTTTTCTCTTGAAAAAGGTTGTCTTGAGACACTGAGGTTGAAGGGAAAGGAAACTGTCTATATTCCATGGATGAATGAGATGAGTGATCACCATAGGAGCCTTTCAGAGCTAAAAGATACACAACATCAATCAACTACAGCTCTTTGTCCTGAGAAGGACAGAGGAATGATTTTTAAAAATATCATGGCCCTCTGGAAAGCTTTCCGAGGCATACAAGTTTGGGACTCATTTAAAAATGAACAAAAAAATTAACATCATTTAACATCCTAATATTACCTTCAAGATGATGATAGTTTAACAGTTCTCTCCTGAAGTGTTTGGAGTGGTCATCACCTGGCATTGTTGAGGCTGGCCTCATATCTCCAGTTGAAATAAAGGGTCTGCATCCTAAACCTAATGGTGCACAATAACAAATTGACCAATTAGAATATGCTTCTTTGAACATCAAATATTTAAACACTGAAGGGTCTTACTGGGCGTGGAAGACCCAAACACAAGAGCCTGTTTCAGGTGCAATAAAGGGCCTGCTTCCTAAACCTAATGGTGCACAACAATTAGAATATGCTTTTTTGAATATCAAGTATTTATTCACTGAAGGGTCTTACAGGGCGCGGAAGACCCAAACACAAGAGCCTGTTTTCAGGCAAAAAAGACAGCAGCAAGCACTCTTATGAGCAGCACTATACCCAAACATGAGAGCCTCTTTGCAGGCTAAGTAGACAGTGGTAGGGGGTCTTTAAAGAGTGGTAGACTGTTGGTAGCTGGCTTTTATTGAAACCAGTGACAATCAGTTTTAGAGATGTTCAGGAACTGCCACCACACTTAAATGTCAGCTGGATGCCTTGGGTGTACAGGGCTTTCACTTTGGCTAAACACATCTCAGATACAGAGCAGAATACTACTGTCACGGCTGTCAAATTTCTGCAACTCAACCTAGTTATGAGCCCTAATTCTGAACTATGACTCTACAAGCTAACCATAGGGTCAGGACAGAGAGAATCACTTTCTATCTTAGTTAAAAGCTAAGAAAATCGTAAATAAATCACCCAAACCAAGTCTAAACTTGACGCTCCATCCCTTAGCCCCAACCCCCTTTTTTCCCCTGCCTATATAGAGTCTTCTGCAAAGTGCCCCTAACCCTTTTCACGAGTGCTCGCATTGGTTACTTTGGGGTGCACATGTCAAAAGTATCTGAGCAAAAAAAATCGTAAAATCTATGACATCAGAGGGTAACAGAGCAATGTCGTGGGCCACTGTTGACCGATGACCACCACTGCTTGTGAACACAGCATGATTGAGGCTAGGGTGAAGGTAATGTGATATTGTAGCAATAATGTAATGACCACCACTGCTTGTGAACACAACATGATTGAGGCTAGGGTGAAGGTAATGTGATTTGTTTCCATATTGTGTCCTCTACTTTTTTCATTGTGCCATGTAACAACTCACAGTAACGCTGGTCCCGTGGCAAACAGTTTTATATGTTCCCTTTTGGACCAATTCTTCAGCGTTTTGGAATATTTCTTTAGAAGATACAAATTTAACCATTTACAAATACTGCACAGTTTATTTCTCTGAAAACAAAGCATTATAATAATAGGAAATACAATAATAGTAATAACGATAACAATAATAAACTTTACTTTACATGAAAACCTGAAAGGTGTAGCAACAACACTTCACCATAAATCTCACTTACTTTGAGAGTAACTTCTCTCTTGAAAAAGGTTGTCTTGAGGCACTGAGGTTGAAAGGAAAGGCAACTGTCCATATTCCATGGATGAATGAAATGAGTGATCACCAGAGGAGCCTTTTAGAGAATAAAAAGACACAACTTCAGTTAACTACTTCTCTTTGTCCTGGGAAGATCAAAGGAATGATTTTTAAAAATATCATGGCCCACTGCTAAGCTTTCCAGGGCATACAAGTTTGGGACTCATTTAGAAATGAACAAAAACATTTACTTCATTTAACATCTTAATATTAACTTCAAGGTAATGATAGTTTAACAATTCTCTCCTGAATTGTTTGGAATAGTCATCACCTGGCATTGTAGATGCTGGCCTCGTATCTCCAGGTGCAATAAAGGGTCTGCTTCCTAAACCTAATGGTGCACGATAATAAATAAGCCAATTAGAATATGCTTCTTTGAACATTAAGTATTTAAACACTGAAGGGTCTTACAGGGCACGGAAGACCCAAACACAAGAGCCTGTTTTCAGGCAAAAAAGACAGCAGCGAGCACTCTTATGAACAGCACTATACCCAAACATGAGAGCCTCTTTGCAGGCTAAGCAAAACGCAAAAAGAGACACAACATCAGTTAACTACAGCTCTTTGTCCTGGGAAGGACAAAGGAATGATTTTAAAAATATCATGGCTCACTGCTAAGCTTTCCAAGGCATAAAAGTTTGGGACTCGTTTAGAAATGAAAAAAAAGATTTACATCATTTAGCATCTTAATATTAACTTCAAGGTGATGATAGTTTAACAGTTCTCTCCTGAATTGTTTGGAATAGTCATCACCTGGCATTGTAGAGGCTGGCCTTGTATCTCCAGTTGCAATAAAGGGTCTGCTTCCTAAACCTAATGGTGCACAATAATAAATTGACCAATTAGAATATGCTTCTTTGAACATCAAATATGTAAACACTGAAGGGCCTGTTTTCAGGCAAAAAAGACAGCAGCAAGCACTCTTATGAGCAGCACTACACCCAAACATGAGAGCCTCTTTGCAGGCTAAGTAGACAGTGGTAGGGGGTCTTTTAAGAGTGGTAGACTGTTGGTAGCTGGCTTTTATTGAAACCAGTCACAATCAGTTTTGGAGATACTCAGGAACTGCCACCACACTTAAATGTCAGTTGGATGTCTTGGGTGTACAGGGCTCTCACATTGGTTAAACACCTCTCAGATACAGGGCAGAATATACTAATGTCAGAGCTGGTAAGTTTCTGCAACTTAACCTAGTCATGAGCCCTAATTCTGAACTAAGACTACAAGCCAACCATAGGGTCAGGACAGAGAGAATCACTTTAAAACTTTGTTAAAAGCTAAGAAGACTGTAAAAAAATCCCCCTCACAAAGTCTAAACTTCACACTCCATCCCTTAATCCCAACCCCCCCCTTTTTCCCTGCCTATATAAACTCTGCTGGAAAGTGCTCCAAACCCTTTCACGAGTCCTTGCATTGGTTACTTTGGAGTCACCAGTCAAAAGCGTCTCAGCAGAAAAAAAATCATAAAATTTATGACGTCAGAGGGTACCAGCAATGTTACAGGCCGCTGTTGACCAATGACTGCCACTGCACGTAAACACAGGTGATTGAGGCCAGGGTGAAGGTAATGTGAAATTGTAGCATTGTGGTAATTTGCACTTGATTCATTTCCATATTGTGTCCATTACTTTCTTTGTTGTGCCATATAACAAATCACATTAACACTGGTCCCTTGGCAAACCATTTCATACGTTCTCTTTTTTGCCAGGTCCTCAGTGTTTTGCAACATTTCTTCAAAAGATATAAAATTAACTATACACAAAAACCATACAGTAAATGTCTCTTAAAACGAAGCATTCTAATAACAAGAAATACAATAATAGTGATACTACTAATAAAATTAATAAACTTTGCTTTAAATGAAAAACTGAAAGGTGTAGTAATAACACTTCACCATAAATTTCACTTACTTTGAGAGTGACTTCTCTCTTGAAAAAGGTTGTCTTGAGGCACTGAAGTTGAAGGAAAAGGGAACTGTCCATATTCCATGAGTGAATGAGATGAGTGATCACCAGAGGAGCCTTTCAAAGCTAAAAGATACACAACATCAGTTAATTTCCAGCTCTTTAAATACCTCTCAGATACAGAGCAGAATATACCAATATCACAGCTGGCAAATTTCTGCAACGCAACCTAGTCATGAGCCCTAATTCTGAACTAAGACTCCACAAGCTAACCATAGGGTTAGAACAGAGATAATGGCTTTATACCTTTGTTAAAAGCTACGAAGATCATAAAAAATCTCCTATACAAAGTCTAAACTTCACACTCCATCCCTTAGCCCCAACCCCCCTTTTTCCCTGCCTATATAAACTCTGCTGGAAAGTGCCCCTAACCCTTTCACGAGTGCTCGCATTGGTTACTTTGGGGTCACCTGTCAAAAGTATCTCACCAAAAATAAATCATGAAATCTATGAAGTCAGAGGGTAACAGCAATGTTACAGGCCACTGTTGACTAATGACCGCCACTGCACGTGAACACAGCGTGATTGAGGCTAAGGTGAAGGTAATGTGAAATTGTAGCATTGTGGTAATTTGTAATTGATTTGTTTCCATTATTGTGTCCTCTATTTTCTTTGTTGTGCCATATAATAATAATAATAATAATAATGAACGTTCTTTAATACGCATTTAAGAATCTCAATGCGCTTACAATTTTTACTAAGGTTGAGATCGGACGTCAGCATAATCAGGCGCCTCTGGCAGCCGCTTTAGTCCATGTAACGACCTCACCTTTTCCCCCCCATCCCACCCCAGGGGAGGACATCCATCACACAGTAATCTCGTGCGTGGGAAATTAACGTCTCCTACCCCTAACCCTGCAGGAGACGGGACCTCCATTTATTCGTCCCTATCCGAGAAGACTAGAATATCTAACCATTTCTTGATGTTGAGAAAGGAAGCATATTCTTCTCAGTTAATTTTAAGACCCTGAGTGTTGGTCCGGCCGGTATTGAACTCTCGACCTCCCGCACAGCAGGCCGGCGCTCATGGCAAACAGTTTTATGTTCCCTTTTGGACAAATTCCTCAGTGTTTTGAAACATTTCTTTAGAGGATACAAACTTAACCATTTACACGTACAAACACTGCACAGTTTATGTCTCTGAAAAAAAACCATTATAATAATAGGAAATACAAAAATAGTAATAATAATAACAATAATAAACTTTGCTTTACATGGAAAACTGAAAGGTGTAGTAATAACACTTCACCATAAATTTTGCTTACTTTGAGAGTGACTTCTCTCTTGAAAAAGGTTGTCTTGAGACACTGAGGTTGAAGGGAAAGGAAACTGTCCATATTCCATGGATGAATGAAATGAGTGATCACCAGAAGAGCCTTTTAGAGCAAAAAGAGACACAACATCAGTTAAATACAGCTCTTTGTCCCGGGAAGGACAAAGGAATGATTTTTAAAAATATCATGGCCCACTGGTAAGCTTTCCGAGGCATACAAGTTTGGGACTCATTTAAAAATGAACAAAAAAAATTACATCATTTAACATCCTAATATTACCTTCAAGGTAACTATAGTTTAACAGTTCTCAGAGTAATTTGAAAATTAACAAGAAAATTGACATCACTGAACATCTTAATATTACTTCAGAGGTGATGATAGTTTATCAGTTTTTCCCTGAATTGCTTAGAATAGTGATCATGAATCTAACATAATAGAGGCTGGCCTCTTATCTCCAGTTGCAATGATGGGTTTGCTTCCTAATTATCATGTTGCACAATCACAAATTAACCAATTAGAACATGCTTCTTTTGACATTAAGTATTTATTAACTGACAATTCACTTAATTAATGGTTTGTTTGTGTTTTCCTTTCAAAAATAGCAATAGATCATACTGAGTCCATGAGAAAATTAGTTCTTAAGCAAGGTAATGGCCTCAAAAGGGTGAATATCAAATTTCTCTGTCTTTCACCATCTTCTGGTACAAAAAGCTTCAACTTTCTCAGAAGAACCTCATCTAATTGCTTCTTTACAAGTATTTACATCTACTTTAAAACAACTACGTACTGCAGTTACAACAAGTGGATATGACGAATTCAGTGGACACTCATTTGCATTTATTCTCCCTTCATGTGCAGCTCATAACTTTTCTTTTCCCAGTATTCCTGTGTCTGATCAGGCTAAAACTTTCATTTTCACCATTTTTTTTTTTACTTTTTTGATTTTTATTAATTAGTCAGTCTTTACGATAGACAACTTTTTTTTCAAATCAAGAGATCAGAGCCATTTCTTCCTTTGTTTGGCAGAGCCACTTCTTTTTTGTTTGGCTTTATTATTAATAGAAACTTTTGAAAATGTGTTCTTAGCTTGACTGTGGTAGTCTTTCATAGTCGGCATTGATCACTGTGTCACAGTTTGGCTTCTACATGGTGGCCACAGCTAGAGGTGTTTGAAATTCCCAGATTGTTTCTTGACCTACTCATTGACCTTATTGCGACGATGTTCTAACATCCCAACATTTAATTTCAAAACATACAGGTGTCTCAATAACATTTTCACAAGTGACTGCTGATGGTCTAAAAGGCAGCTGTGTCTGGAAAAGGACCATAAGGCAAAACCCAAACATGAAATCCTGCTTGCAGGCTAAACAGATGCTGGTGAAAGGTCTTACAGGTGGTAAAAGAGTGAAACATAAGAGCCTGTTTGCAGGAAAAACAGACAGTACTGAGCTCTCTTATAGGTGGCAGTATACCCAAACACAAGAGCCTCTTTGCAGGCTAAGCAGACAATGGTAAGTGGTCTTTTATGAGTGGTAGACTGCTGGTACCTGGCGTTTGTTGAAATCAGTGGGAATCATTTCTGAAGATGTACAGGGACTCTCACCACACTTAAATGTAAGGTTGATGTCTTGGGTGTACTGGGTTTTCTACTGTGGCCAAACATCTCTAAGATACTGTACAGTAACTGTCACAGCTGGCAAATTTCTGCAACCTAGCCAAGTCATGAGTCCCAATTCTGAACTAAGACTCTGCAAGCTAGGTCAGAACAGAGAAAATAGCTAACAGGTGGAGGATGCCACAGCCCTGAACTTTCCATGGTCCAAGGGCACCCACACTTGCAGACAGCCACTTTTTGACCACTCATGTGCCCTCAAATGCGAAGATGACTGCTAACCAAGAATATCCCCTTAGCTAAAGGTACCTCACCTCATTAAATTTTCATTTAATTAGCAAAATAAACCTCTTCAAAATCTCAAGTTTTCATATTCCTTATCTCACAACTGAAATAAAGAACCTCTGTCACCTGACTTGGTGTATAAAATGATGAAAAACTAAATTTTTGACTGTGATTAAGAGTACATGTACTTGGTATCAATTAAATCACTTGTCTTAATTAAAATTATTTCCCAAAAAACCAATGCACAGGCTTGCTTACCAAATGTGAGACTGTACATCCTCTCCACAAGACATCTAATGGGCTTTTCCCAGTTGTACTTTTCCTGATAATTTTCACGTAGAAGCCTTGATTCTGAAAGTCGCACCTCCCTCTTTGTCTGTTGTACCACCTTGATTTTTTTTGCCCACTCTTTTGGATCTTCAGAGTCAACCACAAACTGAGATCCTTGAGGCACCTCCTTCAGAACTTCTCCAAGTCCAGAATTACCACTGACAAGTACAGGCAAACCAGCAGATAAGGCTTCAAGAGCACTGACTCCAAATCCTTCAGTCTTGGATGGCATTATGGCAAGATCTGACTCACAGAATAAGTTAGCTAATACTTCTCTACTGTCACTGAAGCTGCGGACAATTAGCTGATTACGATCAATACCATGTTGAAGCAACTTATCTGCTATTTCATCTTCTTTCCCTCTTGGTGCTCCAACAAACTTGAGTTTGTAGGACTTATCTTTCAACTCAGCAACTGCTTGAGCTGCAAGGTCAAAACCTTTCAATATGAAATCTTCACAAGTGTCACCACTTCCAACAACAAGAACACTGAAAGTGCTTCCTTCTTCAGTGGCTTGCTCAACATTCAAAAATTCAGAGAAAATGCTTGGAGTGAGATCAAAGACATTTTGGTCTTTTTTACTACAACGAAGGTAATGCTTGTAAGCATCTGCCAGCTTGGGTCCAATTGCTATGATTTGATCAGCCATCTTACACAATTCTACTTCTGCTTCTTGCTGTTGTCCACCTTGTGAAATGCTTTTGTACATTCCAAGTTCTTCTGGAGCACTGTGAACAACTTGGATCCATTTGCAGTGGTGATGTTTTCTAATAAACTGCACTTGTTTGCCAAGGCTTACACCATGTCCTACTACATAATCCATGACATGTCCATCTGGGACATTAATCAGCCAGTCAACTGGATTCCAACCAATCACTTTTTTGGCTTTAACAAGCTGCACATGATGATGTGCTGCATCATTCCTGTCTTCTTCATTGCATTCTGGAAGAAAGACACTAACTTCCACATTAGAGTGTTTAGCTAACTGTATGGCGAGCTCTCTGTTGATGGTTGACAAGTCTCCATCAGTTGATGATCTCCACTCTCTGCTTAGCAAAGTGACTTTCAGTCTCCTGTTAATTTGGCCTTCTTGTGAGGTTGAGGCTACACTAGGAATGTCAAAATCCTACCAAAACAAAACATGAAGTCTTAAAAATAATTAACAAGTTTCCCACAATGAATACAGAATTGCTAATACTAAGTCATGTATAAAAATTGCACACCTCATGTTATGGTGCACAGCTGTGCCTACATGAGGATTTTTACCATTATGGTAATAGCCCCTTGGCAAGAACTTGCAGCAGCAATATGTTATAAATCAATTTCTTTCTAAATTTGCAGGGGGGGCTAATTATAGCACAAAGTCAGATACATGTATGAGACGCATCATTTCAAAGTTTCATCAGCCTCCTGACTTCTACATACATACATGTACAGTACAATGTAACTATGCATAGAATGCGTATAACAAACATATTCTCCTATAAGACTATTAACTTATTTTCTTTTTGAAACTCTGCATGTACTGGTAAGTGACTACTTTATTTGCTGGTTGTAAAAAATATAACCAATCAATATATCATTTAATTTTCCAGTTTTGAAAGTCTAATGATTTCTTAATAGAACCTTTAACAGACAGTGGAAGTTACATGTGCTGCTTTGGCAGGTGTTTCCATTATGGTAAAAAGGAAACTACACAAACCTACAAGATGATTCAATTATCACATTATTGTTACCTTTGATAGCCCAGACATCACAAGAGACCTTTAGTGCTGAATATTGAAGCTACAAGTAAAGAAGGAAAAATTGTGAATTTCAAGTCATTTTGTTCACTTTACTTCACTGGACAACATGGACTAAATACAGTTGGCAAATGAGAGAAAATTAAAAGATTAAGAAATACAAATAGTAATTAGTGTAAGGGGAAATGCAAAAATATAAAAAATTGGAACAGTATCACAAATGAAAATTATAGAGGGAAAACTGTGGGTGAGGAAACTCAAACAGCTTCATATAGTTAATGTCAATAAACTCCAAGGGGTGTGGCATCAATAAAGCCACGCACTGGAAGGAAACTTTTACAATTTTTTTGAGTAAGCAAATACCAAAGAGGAAAAACTGAACCAGTATTACCTTGCATTCTGTCTTGTCATCCACAGAAAATATCCCTTGCATGGTAAGGATTCCACTGAGATCTTGAGTCCCAACATGACTCTCTTACCCCTGAAAGTAACTGTGTAAAACAAATTGTTCCAATGAGATGTAAGGAATTAACCCTTTACAACCCAGCATTAGTATGCATACTCTCTATACTATTCCTTAATCATTTCCCGAGGTGCTGTTGTAGCAGTGGGTTAATAAAGGAATACTGATGCAAATCCCAAATTCCTCTCAAAACCCAACAGCATTTATTTTCTGTAAATGAGCTTTACAGTTTGTTAGACTTGAAGTACACAAGACAAAAGCAAAAATCTCCAAAGAACTGAAACATGAAACCCCCAAAAAAGGGCTCCCATTTCAAAGACTAAAGTTGCAAAATCCTACAAAAATTTCTTAACCAAATGACAATATTGTCACACAATTCTAAGTCACATAAGTCTTACTTCACTCTGTTACCCTGACAAGGGGAATTTGTTTGACCCTTTAAACCCAAACAATAGTATTGATATTCTCAACACTGATCTCTCCACATTTCCTGTGGTAATGACAAGGAGAATTTGTTTGACAATCTGGAGCTTTTAAAATTAGTGACAATTTCTATTATTCTCATCACCTTGATAGTTGATTCAAGAGTGATATCGTAATGAGAAATTAGAAGCCAATCAATCTAAGGTTAAATGGTTAATAATCAAGAGCTTCTTTAGTTGGTGATCATTTCCTTTATTCTCATGACCTTGATATGTGATTCAGGGGTGATAATGTTACAAGAAATTACACTGTAGATGCTAGTCACTTAGGGGTTAAAAGGTTAAGTACTGGAGAACTAAAATTACACAAAATATGCTGAGATAGGACTTTTTTTTTCTCTACAGCAAAAATTTCAGAGATCAAATGATTCAAGAAATATACAATGATATGAAGAAGTTTTTCATCTAATTCAGATTTGCATGTATGCAAAGAAGTAGCTTGTACATGTAAACACTGTATATTACTAAAAATGATATAGCATTTTGAAATCGAATCTTAATTTTATTTACTTGTTGAATCTGGATAATTGAGTTCTGGATAATCAAAGTTCACTACCCTGACCATTTGTGTTGCTTTAATTATTATATCTGTTCTTCAATTAATTGTTACAATTTGCAGGTTTACTTGAAATAATTTGGTCTTTTCTGGAAGAATCAGACTGTCTCAAGATATTCAACTTTATTGGTTCACTGTGTAAGTCAAAAACTGTGGAATTTTCTCAGGCTGAAATACATTTTGGACATTCACCAAATATAAAATTTGAGATGGTGGCCTACAACAGGAGGGATAAACATATTCCATTTGTCCAGATCAGTCAGAATACTAAGTCCAGTCTTCTCTTTTAACCCTTTAACTACTATGAGTGACCAAGACAGATTTCCCTCTTTACAATAGCATAGCAATAGCAATTAGCAAGCTCACTGCATTGACTAACAAAAGACCTTTAATTTTTATTTTGGTGCAGAATGCCAAAAACTTGCATTTTGTGCATGCATTGGCCATCTACCTCTGAGCTGTACTACAAATACAACAACAAACAGACAAGAATAAAGAAAATTACAAAGAGGGGATTATTGGTTGATCCACTACCATCTAATCCATAAATATTTGTGTTTCACAATTTATCTTGTTGCAGTTCTGTTATCACAATGACATTGCCACTGTTGCTACTTTTAGTTTCTCGAGGGCAGGAGTGAACTGATGGTGCATGATGTGGATTTTCGGAAAACCAATAACTAGGTTAAGAGAATACTCCGCCCCTTTTGAACTCGTGTTAATGCCAATATCCATCAGAAGTTTTGCACAATTCAGGCAACAGGATATCGGTCAGCTTAGAAAAGGGCTTGATCTTTTTCATAAATGATGTATTTCTGTTACTAAAATATGATGGAAACTTTACAGTATTGTGCAAAAGTAATGCAAACACCTGTCGACGAAATTCGATGAAATTCCTAGCTTTTCAACGAATTCTTGACCGAAACGAAACTTTGACGACATTTCTGCGAATTTTCGAGGCATGTATTGTTTTGAATGGCTCGAACTTTCAGCGACATATTCCTTGATGGCGTTAATGCAACTCGAAATTTCGAGCGAAACTTCGTTCTATGCGGCAAATATTCGGGGCGATAATTCGTTGCAATTGTTCATTCTTTCAAAAAGATTTGGCTGGATTTGTGGTTCGGTGCTGCTCTATATAAAACTCCCATGGAATTTCCCGCTACGATTTGAGTCCTCCGCGTGACCTACATGTATGTTGTTTGCAACCATGGCAACACTCAGTGTATCAATTGCATCGATGCGTTTGGGATCATTTATGTACTCTACTTTTGGTAGTCATCGTGGCCAAAGTTTCAAATTATTCTACAAAAAAATAAAAAAGCCCCTCCACAAGCAAGGCCTCCACCCAGCTGAAATACCGAAAGTGTTGAAACGCGACAGGTTACTAGGTTTTACTACGCGCATCATTTGAGAGTTGCGTCTCACCAGTTTCGTGGTAAATTTACCTTGATCGGTAAGACCTCAAAAGCTGTCTATGGAAGCGAACAGTGTATGTAGAAACTGTGCAAAATAAGCATTGGCAAAAGATGCCGGAATTTATGCAAAAATAGGGCAACGTGACCTAAATAATAGTTGTTTCAGCCGTCATTTACTAATATTCAGTATTTTGTTGCGAAATGTAAAGTATTTCACACTTTTATTAGCATCTGATTGTGTAGGATCAAAATGAACTAAGAACGCTTAAATGCTAAAATACTACATGTGCTCTGAAGCTTGCGTTTTATATATATATATAAATTGTGAAGAATAAATATTTCCAAACAAACATGGGTATAATGATATCTGGAAAGCAATAAGCGATATAGATGCTGTCTATTTGCATAGCGATTGAGAACAAATAAACAAGGAACACATTTCTCGATTGACAACGTTTGAAAACACTCAAAACACGTTCTCTGCTCTGTCTGGTTTAAAAGCGGAGTACTGAAGTTAATGTTTAAAACTATTCCAATCATTTGAGAGTTTATTTCCACCAAATACATGTCTCTTGGTCGCAATTGCTGTGTTTAGTCTCAAATATTAAGTGTCTCTGTCGCGGTGAAAAAGGTTGGAAATACGTTTGATAACATTTTGTGTTGCTTACATGAACAGTAAACAAACTTGATCACTCGCAGACGGCTACTGTCAGTTCGAAGCGAAATTTTGAACACTAATGGTCAAAGAGACACTTTCCGACACGAATTTTTGCTTCGTGGCGAAAATTCATCGAAAAAGCGTCCTTTGTTCAGACGAAATGTCGCTTAACAGGCCTTGAACTTTCGATCGAATTTTCGTTCGAACTTTCAATGAAAGATCGTTAGAACAAATAACGAAATTCGCCGAATTCCGCTTGCATTACTTTTGCACAATACTGTAGTTGGTAGGATTTTTATATGATAAAAAAAGCACAAATGTAGTTATGTGGAAAGACAGGGAGTTATAATGAGCACATCTCAAGCATGTGAAATAAACAACAACAAAGAGCTTACAGTTCTTCACTTGCGAATTGTCAGCCAAAAAGAATGAGGAACAATCAAATGGGGACTCTTTTTGGCCGCCAAATCATACTTTCAATGCAAGGAAAACTTGCTAGGCTCTAAGGTCAGTTATTTCAAATTTTAAATACAGCTATCAACCAGAAAACGCAAAAAAATTTCACATTATAAACACTTTCAGCCATACAAAACTGAGAAAGAGTGGAAATGCTTGATTATTTGTGACAGAAAAGTTAAAATGTTGAAGCAAGTTCATCTTCAACCAAAATGTTTAAAAATGACTTCAAATTGCACTTGTCCCAGAGGCTTATGAAATTTGGTTAGCCTTCATCAAATTACCTCATGCTGATTTGTCCCAAGTTGTACTTGAAATGCACTGTACAAATTTCCCACATAGGGCATTGGGAGAAAAAGAGGAAATACCCAACTCATGAGCCTGAGGAGAGTGATGAACAAACTTTTCATGTGTTCTCTCAACACTCCCAATGGTTATTTCACCAGTACACCAATACAAAGTCTGGTCTCTTCATTTGGCACAATATTTGTTCAATCTTGATCTTCATATCCTAAAGAGCCAGTGGAATCACTGACCTTGAGATATTTGTTATGGATTTAAGGCTTTCCTCAAGATGATTTTAGGATAAAATGTTGTTCAAATATGTATGTATTTTAAATTGTAATTCAAGCAATACTCTGCATGTAAACAATTGCATACAGAGTACATGTCTGCGTAATCTTGATTACATCTGTATGGGCCATATTGTTGTTTGTTATTATAATATAACATTAATCTTTATTCCTCATATTGCTTGAAAAAGGCAAAACAAAAAAATTATGGAAGAAAGAAATAAAAATGTTAAAAGAACTTTGGCAGGAAATCTTACATTGTGCTTCACCTGGCCATGTCACTAGGACAGAATCAATTGCACATGTATATCTTAAGTTTTCCTACCATTTGAAATATTGCTTGACCGTGCAAAATCAATTTAATTCACCTATCAGCTTAATCTAAAAGAATATTTAAACGATTCTCCTACAGTTAATTCC